AAAGGTCCCTTTACTGCGAGAACCATGTCTGCCCTGCACATGCGGCGCTGTAAAGCCAGCCGGCGTGCCGGAGGGAAATCCCCTCGTTCCCAAAGTGCAGGGCAATGCAGCACTTTAAAGACTAACGAGATGGTTTATTAGGTGAGGAGCTTTCGTGGGCCAGACCCACTTCCTCAGATCAAATAGTGGAAGAAAATAGTCACGGTCCCTTTACTGCGAGAACCATGTCTGCCCTGCACATGCGGCGCTGTAAAGCCAGCCGGCGTGCCGGAGGGAAATCCCCTCGTTCCCAAAGTGCAGGGCAATGCAGCACTTTAAAGACTAACGAGATGGTTTATTAGGTGAGGAGCTTTCGTGGGCCAGACCCACTTCCTCAGATCAAATAGTGGAAGAAAATAGTCACAACCATATATACCAAAGGATACAATTTAAAAAAATGAACACACATGGGATGTCATGCTCCTGGCCCCATACTGTCTGCTTGATGTGTTTGCGTTCGTGACGGGTTCAGAATCTTCAAAACACAAGTCTTAAGAACAAAAGTTGGAGGTCCTTGAGATTGTGTAGAAAATCTAGTACCAATGAACTGATGTCAGGCTGTCTTTAAGTTGAAATGGCTTTGAGGTGTGAATTTCTGCATCTATTTTAGCAGCAGGTTATCCCTGAAATCTCTACCATTATGTTAAAGGGCCACTGTCAGATCACTCAGACATATTATTGTGTGCTTGATTTGTATATGCTGCTACTGCAGCAGTTGTGAATGCAAATTAGGGAAGTTGCAGAGCCAAATGTCTCCAAAGGCAGAAATATCACCGTTCCTAAAAGCTTTTTATTCTCCCCATAGTGGGGGACAACTCTTTAGTTATTACATAAGGCCCTTATTTTACTGCCCAAACCTTCCACTGCACCTGTGCAGGAGCTTGTCTTTCTCCACGGGATGAGCATGACTCCTCGAGGTAGGACTGAAGTCTTTCCTAACTAGTAATGTCTGTGTGTCCTGAGTGATCTCTGCGATTTGCTGGCAGAAACTTTAGATTGCTGAGGCCTTTTTATGGGTGAAAACTAAAGACTACCCTCGGGTGGCTCTAGTTTCCCCAAGACTAGAATATCTTTGCATAGAACCAGGCTCTATGCAAGAATTACTGGGTGTGTTTTTAAGGCCTGTGTTGTAGGGGATCAGATTATCATATTGGTCACTTCTGGCCTTAATCTGCGACTAAGTGTTTCTCAGAGGCTCAAAGCAAATGAGAGAAAGTGTATAATATAAATATAAATTAAAAATTTGCTTTGGATTTGGCAGAAGTAGAACTCAGCACTGGTTATGAAATATAGTATTGAGGAATCTTTGTTTGGAGAGCCCACAGCGAAAACTCGACATTCGCTGCACAGACCTAAGACATGCTTACCAAATACATCAGCCTTTCCAGATATTTTCCTTAGAAACTCAATTGTCTCCTTTCCTTCATTTTTGAATGTTTCCCTTGGGGGAAGACTGAGAACTGTTCTGTACCTACGGGGTTTCATGTGCCATTAGAAGACACTGCTCTAGAATCTGTTATATAGAGGATTTCTCAGTGGTGTAACCTAATTACTTGGATTTGGTGACTTCATCTGGCAGAAAAGGTGCATTTTTGTCCGTGGCAACTTGACTGATTTAATTTGTTTTATTGGTATTTCTTTAGTGCTCATCTGTATAGCATCGATATTGTGGTATGGGAACATCACTCATTGAAGACTGTTACTCAGAGTTCCACTCAATTTGGCAAAATAAAAATGTACCACTAATTAAATGTCCTCTCCATAGTGCTGATCCTCCACTCCTTTGGAGTTAGAGGAAGCTGAATAGTATAGAAAACGTAGACGTGACACACGTTGCAGATAGTCATGAAAAAATGAGGTATGTTATGGGTATAGAGAACAGAATTCAGCAGACTAATGTGATTAGCTTCCAACTAAAAATGTAAGCAAGTAGTCGACTACTTGACTAGCTGTTTCTCTCTCCCCCACCCCCCCACTTGCTGCCTCTATAAGAGCCGGTGCTGGGGGGAGCTGGCTTAAAAGCCAGTACCCCCGCAGTGCTGTCTCCACAGGGGGACAGGAGAAGCAGAGGTGCTGGGGAGGACCAGGTGCGAGCTCTTACTACATTTAAAAGACATAGCTGCAGCAGGGTTAGCTCCCAGGGTCAGGAGCTAACCCTATTGGGGCTCTGTAATTTCCCCCCCATTGACGAAATTCAATTAACTACTTGATTAGCTGATTAAATGCAATTTAATATCCTTACTTCCAGTCCTCAACCTCTCTTCTTGGAGGAGGTATAAATCTGCTGAAATCACTGCTGTGCCTCAGATAAATTATACATTGTCTACGACTAACTAGGAGTGTTAAAATGTGGGTTGTTTTTTTGTGCAAACATGTATCTGCTGAAATTTTCGGGGAATACATGTTTATGGGGGGGGGCAGATTTCCAATTTCCTGCCCCCGCTGCCTCTGTATCCCCCCTGATACAGGAGGGGAGGCAGTCAGCTAAGCAGGAACTGGTAAATGTGGGGAGCTGGTTTCAAA